TCACGAGCTTTTACCAGTTCTTGATGCAGTTCTTGATGAACACGGAGTTCCATGAGTCTGGCCCTGGGGCAGAGTGCATGGGCATGTCATTTATCGCCTGTTCGAAGTCATTTGGTGTCAGGATAACATCAGATAGGCTTGTGTTAACCATCAGTCTAGTTTACGATAATAGAACTTCCCGCTCTTACTGTCAGAGTTAAGAGCGCCATCAGAGTAGATAGTTTGTGATATTATTATTGTCATCAGGTAATGTATTTGTTCCTGTGCACTAAGTCTAGAAAGTAAGCCAAATTGAGGATTATGCATGTTTAATATCTTGGAAGGATAGATGGGTATGGTGATATCAAAAGTTGTTATCTACCAGGGTGGCGGGAAGTGCAGTTATTTCCTAACATGATACAGTTCATGTTGTCCAAATATTTTTATGTGTGTAGCTGTTATTTGAACTCATCTTGATTCACTTGTTCCATGAATTATATGCCTTAGTAATTCTTTACAAACAATACTGTTTTGATCACCACGCAGCAGATTCAGTCTTATCATCACATTGATATCACGTATTGTACCAGCAGCACTAGGTATACTTAATTCTTTCCTCGTATAAAGTATTTTGGTAGTTATAGGACAATCAAAAATAATTCTTAGCACTTCATTTTGTATTTTTTCAAGCCTTTAATTAGTTTTACTGTATTGCAGGATTGAAACTGATGCATTGCAATTTTGTCCTGCAAATATCTAGGTATCACTGTTACGTGTACGTCAACAACTGTGAATAAATTTAACCAATAATGTCAAGACAAAGTCCTTAGAGCCACCTTAGGAAGTCCCAGTACTCAGTGTACTAGAACTTTTTTTTCTTCCGTGTGTAAAGTCTCACTATGACCTTGTGATCTCTCATCCTCGGACATTTCAAATCAGTTACTTGTTACTGCAGTCATATAGCTCTGAATGCAGCACCTTATTGAAGACAGCTAAAAGTCTATTGGTAATCTGCCTTATGTATACTGAGAGGCAGTTGAACAGTCTTGGGCTCCTGACACTTATTGTGTTGTCTCTTAGTGTACTCGTGGCGCCCCTAATTTTCATTGTTGGAATGTGGCATCTCCTGCCGAGTCTTTTGCTTTCGTAGTGAGTGATTTTCGTGTGCAAGTTTGGTACTAATCCCTCTAGGATTTTCCAGGTGTATATTATCATGTATCTTTCTTTCATAAAATTCAGAGCAGACAGCAGTAAAATATATTATAATTAGTGCAATTTACATTATTACAATAATACAGTTTTACGTCTGTATTTAATCATTAAAATTCACCGTTTAGCAATCTTGAGTTAATTTGAATTGCTTGAGTAGTTTCAAACTGGAGCTATGATTTTAGGCATAGTATAGTGTTAGTATAGTTAAATTTGGAAGATGAGTTGAGCTTTTATTATAGCCCTAAACTGACTGGCAGACAGGGGACTTTTTGCTGGTTCAGGCAATGAATTCCAGATCTTGAGGCCCTTTATGTGCTGTGAATTTTTGCACAGTGCGAGATGGACACGAAGGATGTCGAAGAGAGTTTTATGGCTCGTATTGTAGCTATCAAGAAGTTTGAGATGAGGGTTTATATTGGAGTTTAATGTTCTATACAGTGGAACCTTGGATGTCGAAGGGACTAGTTGTCGACCAAATAGGTTTTCGAACAACGAATTCGGTCCTGGTTTTTGTACATGGTCTCGGTTGTCGAACGACAATGTTCAGATCACGTGATCACGAGTCCACAGTGTGGGTCTCAGTAGGTCAACTAAACTTGTAGCTATTTCGCTAGAGCTCCTTTTATTCTATCGGTTGAGTACAAAAAAGCTGCCCATTTACCTATTTCAACTATGAAATAAAGTAATCTGAAATTACTAAAATGGCCAGTTTCACACAAAATTCAAGAAAGGCCAATTTCAAAATAGGGTCCAGCATCAACAATGTAGACATCCTGGCACTACAATAACATTTTAACTGTTCATTAGTCACGTCTCCAGGCCCTTCTTATATTACTCTTGCTTTTCATTTTGAATTTTTATTCACATAAAAGGTAGAAGATTTATTGTTATTCAGACTACTGCATAATCGTAATAATTACATAAGTAATATTAGCACATTTGTGAATGCATGTTAGACCCACTAGTTGACATGTATTGGACGCGTGACTTGATTTGTTTGCTCTTGAACATCAGCAAAACTCGAACATTTCCGCTAATTTGAGCTCAATTTCAAGTTACTTTTACTCATTAAACCATTGAAAATCATCTTTATGTTTGTACCATATCTACCATTCTATCTATTGAGACCAAGAAAAAAAAGAATATAACCATAAATACCATACGAAAATACATCGCAAACTTTCTGTTTTAAACCAAAAACACCGTCACAGTTTTTTCTCATTATGTACTGCGTGCTGCAGGATTTTTTTTATACTGCACACACTGACCATGCGGACCCATTCTCTCACATAGCAAATGTAATACCTATTTACAAGCCAGGTGACAGGTCCTTAGCTTCGAATTATAGGTCAGTAAGCCTTACCTCCGTAGTGGGAAAATTTATGGAATCAATAATTGCCGAGGCAATTCTTGATAGGCATAGATTGATTAATGAATCTCAACACGGTTTTACAAAGGGGCGTTCCTGTCTTACGAATTTACTAACTTTTTTCACTAAGGTGTTTGAGGAGGTAGATCATGGTAATGAATATGATATTGTGTATATGGACTTCAGTAAGGCTTTCGATAGAGTTCCACATCAGAGGCTATTGAGGAAACTTAAGACACACGGAATAGGAGGAAATTTTTTTTCCTGGGTAGAGGCATGGTTGACAAATAGGCAGCAGAAAGTTTGCATAAATGGGGAGAAATCAGAATGGGGGCACATCACAAGCAGTGTTCCACAGGGGTCAGTGTTGGGCCCCTTGTTGTTCACAATTACATAAACGACATAGATGAGGGAATAAATAGAAACATAAGCAGATTTGCTGATGACACAAAAATAGGCCGTCCAATTCATTCTACTGAGGACATAATAGCACTCCAAGATGATTTGAATAAACTGATGCAATGGTCGGAGAAGTGGCAGATGAAGTTTAATATAGACAAATGCAAAGTTCTAAACATTGGACAGGACAATAACCATGTCACATATAACTAAATAATGTAGATCTTAATATTACGGATTGCGAAAAGGATTTAGAAGTTCTGGTTAGCAGTAATCTGAAACCAAGACAACAGTGCATAAGTGTTTGCAATGAAGCTAACAGAATCCTTGGCTTAATATCAAGAAGTATAAATAATAGAAGTCCTCAGGTTGTTCTTCAACTCTATATATCCTTGGTTAGACCTCATTTAGACTATGCTGCTCAGTTCTGGTCACCGTATTACAGAATGGATATAAATGCTCTGGAAAACGTACAGAGGAGGATGACAAAGTTGATCCCATGTATGAGAAATATTGAAATTAGGACACATGTGCAACATCTAGGTATCTTTATTGTAGACGTTTCGCTATCCAGTGGCTTTATCAATATAAATTCTATGACATAATTTGAAGACAGTAGAACTATATATATATATATATATATATATATATATATATATATATATATATATATATACAGAAGATTAGGTAATCAGTCCCTCAACCTTGGAGTTGGTGTGAATGATATACGCAGCTGTTTTATAATGTAGTGCTCCAAGGACTTATTGGAGACAGTCAGTAGTTTTTACAGCAAGAACGGACATCTTGCTGTTGTTATCCACATCTCTATTATTTGTTGAAGTTTCAGACTCTTAAAGTGCATTACAAGCTATCCAGAGCTTTGACTCTCCACGTCCGTTGTATTTCAACGATGGTTCGGTTTTATCTTCAGGAGACACAAGAGATCTTTTACTGAATTCCTGAACGTTGTGATTTTCTGGTCAGTAAACTCAGAGACTCCACTGTTCACTTTGCAGTTCAAGACCTCCTTTATAGTACAATAATAAAGTATTAAAAGTACAAACCATACCACGAGCGGGGATAGAACCCGCAGTCAGAGATCATAAAACTTCATACCGACGCGTTAGCCACTGGGCCAGCTGGCTACAATAAGATTCGTTCAGCTAGGTATGATTTGTTTGCAATCGTGTCATTACGATTTCGTGAGTCGTATTCAAAGTACCCCAATGGAAAAAAGTTACTTTGACTTTTTTGGGTCATCCTAGGTAATCTACATATATGCTGCTTTGTATGATAATGTATGTAACTATTTTTGTATCTGTATTAATGTTGGTAGAATTACCGACAATATGTAAAGTAAAAGGACACAAGTGAAACTAATGTAACATTTTATTTTGGCAACGTTTCAAGCCGTTACGGCGTGACAAAGCTCCTGGAGAGCGAAACGTTGCCACAATAAAATGTCACATTAGTTGCACTTGTGTCTTTTTACTTAACATATTTTTGTACCTGTACGTAAATAAACTTACCTCTGCATGGAAGTCCCTTTGTGACACTAGTTTTCCATTAAGCTCTTAGTGTGGATGATACAGACATGGGTCCCAGTAGGAAATTACCAAATTGTACCGTTCTCAAGGAAACCACAAATACGTTCTTGGCCATCTTCTCGTCATTGTTGTAGTTATGGGAAATGGTATTCTCAGACTATTAATTTCTAGCTGAATTTAACTCACTGAGATAGGCTGTGTGTTTAAAACAATTTTTTTTATCTCTTAATTGTTTCTCACTTCTAAAATTTCTAATATCTTCTAATATACCAAAGCCTTAATTTCAGTATTTTTGAAAAGAATTTGTGAATTTAAGAAAATTAAAAAATTTCGATACCGTCCCTAATTTTACCTGAAAAAGTTGAATTAGTAAAAAAAATATACGTTAGGAAGGCGAAGATGCTGGTACAGCTTTGTTACTAGCACGGTTTATACCATATAAACCTTGGTGATACAACCAAATTGGTTTAGAAAGACACAAGCAAACACTAGGACATATTTATTAGAAAACGTTTTGGTTCTGGGACCTTGATCACTTCTAACATACAGAGGTTAAAAGACATTATATATAGGCGAAGAGTGAGGTGTGAGGGAGGTGTGGTGACATGAAGAATGACATACTGAGATGAGAACAGGTAAACAATGTAATCATATAACTACTGTGGTGTTAGGTAGGTGGTACTTTGCCTGAATGAGTATTATGTATGCTAATGTTTTTAAAATTTTGTAGTTCCAGCATTGTTCTATAGTGTCGGTGACGGCGATTAGCGAGGCTGCCAGACATCGTCGGCGTTTAAGATCTTGTTCTGTGAGGACGCCGTCACCGACACCTTATAACATAATGTTGGAAGCTACACAGTTTAAAAAATATATGATCATGTGACAGGAGTCACATGATCACATTGTCTACCTGTCCATCCAGGTCACCATATGTCACTCTCACCCTACTCTCCGCCTATATATACTGCCTTTTTAACCTTTGTTAAAGTGATCAAGGTCCCTTGTGTTTGCTCAGGTGTCTTCATAATATTATTGAAATACATATAACTGAAGATCAACATGAACCTCTGGTTTCGTCATGATTCCCACCTGGATGAATGGATGTCGTGGGGGAAAGCTCAAGACGTGATTGTTGACCATGTCAGTATTATAACGACCTAGGTAAGGTTGAAGATCAGGAAGAGGTCGCAGCGTCAACACATCGAGGTCAAGGTAGGTTCCTCCGAAGCGTCGCAAGAGTTCCGCACGGGCTGCGTCGCTAATAAAGACGGATGTAAACTCTGGAAGAGTAAATAATAAGTGAGCGAAAAGTGTGTATGATAAAACTGTACTATATAAGAATATTCAAAACGAAGTTCGTTTTGGTTTTTACAAATATTATGTGGTAAAAAAAAAAGTAAGACCACGATATCATGAAATCAGACCTCACGAAAGATAAAATAAAAGACAGAAAATAATTTAGAGATTGATATAGTATTTTGAGAATAAATTTAGGCATGAGGCAACAGTAAAGGTTAAGATATATCAAATTCACCCTTACAAATTTTATAAATACTCTGGCTATAATTAAACACCATAAGAAATTTCTTCTTGTAGGTAGTCCTTTTATGTGGTGGGAATATTTAAAGCTGTGATGATAGAGTGAGCCACTCGGGCTATGGTTTTACGTACCATCAGGGCAGGAAAGCCACATACTAACCCTTTTTCTTCGCCAACTTGTTCAGTCTATCCTTGTGACTGTTTCCCAGGCGCTTCTTTGCAGGTGGTCCAATTAAATCAGTTGGCTGTATAATTACGGCTAGAGGTCAGGCAGATATTAAGGGTGTTGACACTTTTCCTTCTGTGGCTATTACAAGGCAGTCTGCGAGATAGTACGCTGATAGACTTTTCAAGTTCAATGTACGATAGTGGGTGGAGAGGGAAAAGGAGATGATGGGATTGAGTTACAACATTTAACATCTTATGATTTCTTAAGAACATAAGAACATAAGAAAGGAGGAACACTGCAGCAGGCCTGTTGGCCCATACTAGGCAGGTCCTTTACAATTCATCCCACTAATAAACATTTGACCAACCCAATTTTCAATGCCACCCAAGAAACAAGCTCCGATGTGCAAGTCCCTCTCAAATCCAACCCCTCCCACTCATGTATTTATCCAACCTAAATTTGAAACTACTCAAAGTCCTAGCCTCAATAACCCAACTAGGTAGACTGTTCCACTCATCAACTACCCTATTTCCAAACCAATACTTTCCTATGTCCTTTCTAAATCTAAACTTATCTAATTTAAATCCATTACTGCGGGTTCTCTCTTGGAGAGATATCCTCAAGACCTTGTTAATATCCCCTTTATTAATACCTATCTTCCACTTATACACTTCGATCAGGTCTCCCCTCATTCTTCGTCTAACAAGTGAATGTAACTTAAGAGTCTTCAATCTTTCTTCATAAGGAAGATTTCTAATGCTATGTATTAATTTAGTCATCCTACGCTGAATGTTTTCTAACGAATTTATGTCCATTCTGTAATATGGAGACCAGAATTGAGCTGCATAATCTAGGTGAGGCCTTACTAATGATGTATAAAGCTGCAGTATGACCTCTGGACTTCTGTTGCTTACACTTCTTGATATAAATCCCAGTAATCTATTTGCCTTATTACGTACGCTTAGGCATTGCTGTCTTGGTTTAAGGTTGCTGCTTACCATAACCCCCAAGTCCTTTTCGCAATCTGTATGGCTAAGTTCTACATTATTTAACTTATAAGTGCTAGGGTTATGGACACTCCCGAGCTTCAGAACCTTGCATATATCTACATTGAACTGCATCTGCCACTTTTCTGACCAAGAGTAGAGTTTGTCTAAATCCTCCTGAAGTTCCCTAACATCTACGTTTGAATCAATTATCCTACCTATCTTCGTGTCATCGGCGAATTTGCTCATATCACTAGTAATTCCTTCATCAAGATCATTGATATATATTATAAACAACAACGGGCCCAAGACTGATCCCTGTGGAACGCCACTTGTTACTGATCCCCACTCGGATTTAACCCCATTTATGGACACTCTCTACTTCCTGTCTGTGAGCCATGATTCGATCCACGAGAGCACCCTTCCCCCAATGCCATGAGCTGCTACTTTCTTCAACAGTCTTTGGTGCGGAACTCTATCAAATGCCTTACTAAAATCTAAGTAAACAGTATCAAATTCTTTATCGTGGTCAACAGCCTCAAAAGCTTTACTGAAGAAAGTTAATAAATTGGTTAGACAAGACCGGCCTCTTGTGAATCCATGCTGAGTATCATTAATCAAGCTATGCTTATCGAGATGGCTTCTTATAATCTCAGCTATAATTGACTCTAGTAATTTGCCTACAATTGAGGTCAGGCTTATTGGGCGGTAATTTGACGGTAACGACTTGTCCCCTGTTTTAAAAATAGGAATTACATTAGCCATCTTCCATATGTCAGACACTACACCTGTTTGAAGAGATAAATTAAAAATATTAGTTAATGGTTCACAGACTTCCATTTTGCATTCCTTTAGAACCCTTGAAAAAAACCTCATCAGGACCCGGTGACTTATTTTGCTTCAGTCGGTCTATCTGCTTCACAACCATTTCACTAGTGACTGTGATGTTACATAATTTATCTTCTTCTGGCCACTATAAAAATTAATTACCGGAATATTATTAGTGTCTTCCTGTGTAAAAACCGAGAGAAAATAATTATTTAAAATCGAGCACATTTCATTCTCTTTGTCAGTAAGATGCCCATAGTTATTTTTAAGGGGACCTATCTTATCTCTGACTTTTGTTCTATATACCTGGAAAAAACTTTTTGGGTTAGTTTTAGAATCCCTAGCAACTTTAATTTCATAGTCCCTTTTAGCTTTTCTTATCCCCTTTTTAATGTCCCTCTTAATGTCAATATACTGATTCATAAGATGACCCTCGCCTCTTTTGATACGCCTATAAATTCCTTTCTTATGCCCTATAAATTCCTTTCTTATGCCCTAGTAGATATTTCAGCCTATTATTCATCCATTTTGGGTCATTTCTATTTGATCTAATTTCTTTATAAGGGATAAACGTTCTTTGAGCAGCATGTATTGTGTTCAGAAAACTGTCATACTGATAGCTCTCTTCGTTACCCCAGTCAACAGATGATAAGTGTTATCTAAGCCCATCGTAATCTGCTAAGCGAAAATCTGGGACTGTTACTGAGTTATCCCTACTATCATACTTCCATTCAATTCTAAATGTAATTGATTTGTGGTCGCTAGCACCCAGTTCCTCTGAAACTTCTAAATTATTAACAAGAGATTCATTGTTTGCCAGAACTAAGTCAAGCATGTTATTACCCCTTGTAGGTTCTGTCACAAACTGCTTCAAAAAACAATCCTGAACTACTTCTAAGAAGTCGTATGATTCTAAATTCCCAGTCAAGAAATTCCAATCAATATGACTAAAGTTAAAGTCTCCTAGAATTACTACATTATCGTGCCTTGTGGCCCTAGCAATTTCCTCCCATAGTAGTCTCCCCTGGTCCCTATCTAAATTTGGGGGACGGTATATCACACCTAAAATTAACTTTTCATGCCCTCTGAAAATTCTATCCAAACAGACTCTGTATGTGTTACTTCAGACTTAATACCCGTTTTTATGCAACAGTTCAAGCGACCTCGGACATACAGTGCCACCCCACCCCCCTTCCCGATACTTCTATCTACTTGGAACAATTTAAAACCCTGAATGTGACATTCTGCAGGCATGTCCCGACTTTTTGAATTAAACCACGTCTCAGTAATGGCAAATACATCTGTGTTACCTGCACTAGCAACTAGTCTCAACTCGTCCATCTTATTCCTAGCACTGCGACTATTTGTGTAATAAATACTTAAAGACCCTCCTCTCTCTTTACCCTTCCTGCTCCTTTCTGTTATTCCACTAAACCTATTACTGTCCTTGTCAATTAGTGCCACTGGCTTTCCAATATCCACCTTATTTTGCCTATTACTAGTTCTCCTAGTGCTCATATTACTACCCTGAGACTTCACAGTTTTCCCGCAAAAACCCATACCACTAACTATTCCTAGTTTAAAGACCTAACAGCTCCCTCCACTGCGTTGGCCAGTGCTCCCACCCCACACCTAGATAAGTGAACCCATCCCTGGCATACATGTCATTTCTGCCATAGAGAGGTCCCAGTTGTCAATGAATTTACCGCATTTTCCTTACAGTATTTGTCCAGCCAGCAATTGACACCAATTGCTCTGGACAACCATTCATTTCCAACTCCTCTCCTTGGCAAAATGCCACATATGACAGGTTTCCCACCCTTCCTCCTAATTATCTCTATTGCTGACCTATACCTGCTAATCAGGTCCTCACTCCTACGTCTGCCAACATCGTTGCCTCCAGCACTGAGACAGATAATAGGATTGCTCCCATTACCTCTCATGATGTCATCTAGACGGCTAACAATATCCTTCATCCCAGCCCCAGGAAAACACACTCTCTGCCTCCTACTCCTATCCTTCAAGCAGAATGCCCTATCCATGTACCTAATCTGGCTATCCCCAACAACAACAATGTTTTTACCTTCCTTGGCGTCGTCCGTCGTGATGCTCCGAGTAGTCGACTCACATTCGCCAGGTAGCATTACACCACTTGTAGAATTCGTCAAGACGTTCTCGATGGTCTTCGTTGGGGTTTCTAGGGATGTCTCACTCACGTCTGCCAATGCTTCTTTGGTGCTCGTTGTGGCATTCCCAGTAGAACACTCATATTCGTCAGGTAGCACCGAGAATGGGTTGGAAGTTTCCACGGTAGTCTTCTGGTTTCTCGTTGTTTCTGCCTCTCCAACCGTTTTCTTGATCTTCAGCTTGGTTCCATGTTACCCGGCCACTGACCAAGCTCCCCTCTTAACCTGGGGACTCACAACAGGAGGATTACTACGAATTCTCTTGTTCTCCTCCGTTACTCGCCGTATCTCCATCTTAGCAACTCTGAGCTCTTCTCTCAGCTGCTGGTAAAGTTGCTCAAGAGAGGGCATCCTGGTTCAGATTCACAGAGAGCACACAAACAGGTCTTCACAGAGCTAAGTACACGTCACCACTGACTAAGGACACAAAGTCACAGGCAGCCACTGATACCTTCTGCCTTGCCCCAGAGAATTTCACCTATCTGTTGCTGTCTTCCAACATTGCATAACTCCTGATGACGCATGAGAGTGCGAAAGATCTTAGAGCTCAGACTTCCATCCCCATGTGGCAT